ACCTAAATTGCATCCAACTTAAAGTAGGGTCAAATGAAGGGATTTCATAAAGCCCTGATAATCACGAGGAGCTGACACTACGTTCGGCATTCAGCGCTTATAAAATTGTGTGATGTGATTCAAGTGCTTTTGTTTTCACTAATCTTACCCTATGCGAGGTTCTTCTATTGTGATTTTTGACAGTTCTCAGCATTTACGGTTGGTTAGCTTGCTGGTGTTCATATGCTCCAAATAAATACAACTATCATCTATAAATGACATCGAGATCATCTTTGGCATATAAAAACTACTCTTTTACATTTATTATGGGTTTGAGTCTGTATCACTTGTACAAAATTTTTGTTGGAATGATTCTACCAAATGATTAGATTACAATGTAAACTTTACGGTGAAAGTCTGTGAATTTCCCAGTCATTGCCTGATTTTCGAAATTCCATACGATCGTCGATATGATCACTTTGCCCTTGCCAGAATTCATAGTAGTTAGGTTTGAGAATATATCCACCACTGGAACATCAAATATGAACCACTTTCACAAAATAATCAACTGAGAAAATTCAAGCTTACAAGGGTTCTAGTCGTGTAACAGCTGCTTCACCTTTTGCTATTACCAGTTCTTCTATAGTTTTACGCTTATCCTTGAGGAACTAAAAATTTCCTTCTGGGAAATAGGTATACGTTAGCAGCCTATTTTTAGGAGACAAATATTTTCAATTCTTGAACGAACCTAAGTCTGCAAAATAGTCTAGAAGCAAGCTGATTTTTAGTGCTGGTCCGAGTCCAGAAAACCCCGCCAATTTTTGAGCTACGAATCAAAAGCCTTATGTCAAAAATACATACTATATGGACAATCATTAGATTAGCCCTTTTGCTCTTCTCTCTGAACAGTCGGTGTACTCCACTACTCCAATACCAAGACAACAGAAGAGTATAAGAAAACGCATGGTGAAGGGGACCGTGCGCGGTGCTCCGTCCCTTATACGTAGCTCCGATAGAAATCACTGAAGCCCATAGTCGGTTGAACCCGGATAATCCTTCAGGGAAGGTGTGAACTCAACGAGATTATCCCAAGGCTCAAGTCAACTACTCAACTGCCCGGATAATGAAGAACGACCTTCTTCGCTATCTTAGTTCTGTCCACGAGCATGCTATTCAACCAACCATATCATCATAATGGAGGTTTTGTGCCTGCCACAATGTAAAGTTATTAGTCTGTTACGCCGACATGTAACAACATTAATGCTTTCGCCGAGACAGCAATAGTAGCCCTTTCACAATCATTTGCGTAAGTCACATTCCCCTTCAGCTCTATTCTCACCCACCCATTAGCCGTCAAGTACCGCCGACGAGTTATACAGTTCGAATTTTGGCAACTCCGCCTCCGTATGGATGGAATTTGTCCAAAGCTTCAATCATGTAATAGAAGTTGCTGCATCATAAGTGCAATATGATCAACCACAGATAGAGTGAAAGTTCGCAAGCGC